GGGGGGGGGGGGGGGGGGGGGGGAGTGTAAGCCATACAAACAGAGGGAAAGTAAAGAAGTAGGTCGTATTAGTAGCACCCTCCAACCACCCACACAGAAACTACGGAAGGGAAGTAAAGAAGTAGGACATGCCAGTGGCACCCCCCAACCACCCACATAGACATTTTTTTTCGTAAGAGTTTTACGGCACTTGCAACACAATAAGGTCATAGCAGTGCCAAAGATTAGAGGTGTTACAAGAAAGAAACAAACACAAAAAAGAAGGAAGGGGAGATATATAAAGACGACAGATAGATGTTTGATAGGAAAGAAGGAGCAAACCACACCACAGTACCCGCCAGCCTCCCACTCCACACAGACAGAAACTACAGAAGGGAAGTAAGGAAGTAGGACGTGCCAGTAGCACCCTCCAACCACCCACACAGACAGAAACTACAGATGGAAAGTAAAGAAGTAGGACGTATTAGCAGCACCCTCCAACCACCCACACAGACAGAAACAACAGAAGGGAACTAAACGTTCTTATACCGACCGTCTAGGTAGGGAAGTAAAGTAGTAAGACGTATTAGCAGCACTCTCCAACCACCCACACAGACAGAAACTACAGAAGGGAAGTAAAGAAGTCGGACATGCCTGTGTCACCCTTCAAAAACCCACACAGACAGAAACTACAGAAGGGAAGTAAAGAAGTCGGACATGCCTGTGTCACCCTTCAAAAACCCACACAGACAGAAACTACAGCACGGAAGTAAAGAAGTAGGACATGCCAGTGGCACCCTCCAGCCACCCTCCAGCCGATCACCCTGGCGTCGCGGTCAAAGGGACAACGAGAAGACACCCCGGGGCACGGCTCAGTGACTACTCACACCTCACGTGCACGCTCCCCACCACGTGTGCACTCACACTAATGACTCTTCCCCTCGGCAGATGGATTGTGTGGCACTTCTCGTAATTAGTTGGGTTTTGTTTGGGGGGGGGGGGGTGTCCCCCGGCATAACAATAATTAATATATGTTTTAATAGTAGAGGGCTTTACGGCGCTCGCAACTGCATAAGGTCATATGAGCGCCAAGGGGCGGGTGTCAACAAAGAAGTCTTTACAGGGAATCAGACTTACTCTGCTCACCTCTCTAGCTTCAACAGCACAAGGTCTGCTTCGACTATCAAGGCACCCCGGAAATAGCGGGTCACAAGAGTGTGACAAACATACAAAAGAAGTAGAGGGAAATGGCAACAGTA